GGGTGTGGGTTGTGGTGGGGGGGGGGGGGGGGGGGGCGCTGGCCAATGCTGGGGCGGGTGGCCCAAGTGCTTCTCAGGTCTCAAGCTGGTCTGTCTGCACGGTTCAATGTTTGGAGCACCACCGCTGGCCTCAACTCAACATCGATGTCAATGTTGGCCCTGAAGTCCTCGACACGAAAAATGGCTCCACCACAATTTGCCGACGTGGAGCTCACTTCAACCCGACGCTTGGAATGACAGTCATGGGTTGGGGTTGTTGTTGCGGGTGCGGCGAAACAGCAGCCAAGCCAGCGCGACAGCAGTCAAGCCACTTACCCGGGGAGTTCGTCGGGTCGGTCTGCCAATACTTGGCCATTGACGAGTCCGTTGGTCGCGGTTGTTTTATCACCAGCCGTCGTAGACGAATAATTCTATCGTCACGGCCTGTGGAGTAGGAGGCAAGGCAAACCGACAATTCGAGCAAAGATCGAAACCCAAAGAAACCAAGGTCAGATTGGTTTGAGGCAGCCCCGGCCTATGTATTGAAATATTACTCCGAACCATCAACATGGCAGCCCAGGAGGAGGCATGACGGAAGACGCCACGGAGGTGTCTGTCGGTCTACGGACTCCGTACCGAGTGGCTCTTACGCAAAGCTGACTATGAAGTTCGGGACCCGGCCTCTCACATAGCAAACCAGCCCAAATTGCATGTACTTGATGGATTTTAGTGCAGTAAGCATTTGTCCCTCCTCGCCGGACCGGTAATAGGTGCTCCTTTGGAGTAGGCACCGGCATGCAACAACGTAACCCCCTTGCCAGGTACACAACGGAAAGGAGTGAGTGCATCGACCAGGCTGTTGAACTGTCGCAGGCTCTACGGTGGACATTTGCCTCGGTGTCATCCACTCTACTGGATCGACTTCAACAGAAGCAACGCCTTGCAGATACCAACACGCATTTAAAAAACAGAGCCGCAGACAACATACAATATCAGCAACCATGACGACCGGACAGACGATGCGGAAGACAGACTCAGTTCCTCAGCAACCCCCCTGACATTTCGTGCCCAACCAACATGGGCCACTTAATACCAACCCGCCGCCACACGCACCGCAGCCAGATGCCGGCTCGAGACAGATTCGCCCTGCCTTTCGGAGAGGGTGATGTCGCGTTGAAACATACAATATTCTACACGCACCGGTCTGTCCCAGTATCAATCAAATTCGATCCGCCGGCGAAGAGTGCGTCTCTCAAGCTGCACCACAAGCACACCCACACGAACAGTTTCTGCCGCAAACAAACACGCAGCTTAGTACAAGCTGGGCAGCCGCTTCAGGGCAAAGCAAGCGACCTACAACCGTAGAGGACCCAGGACCCAATGCAAAACAACACGACGTGCTTCAAACAACTTTCCAGCCTCGACCTGCACCAACAGGTTGCTTTTTTTTTTTTTTTTTTTTTTCTCCTTTTTTTTCCCTTGGCAAAGCCGCATCTCACGACGAGAAAAGAAGACCCTCTCGGAGTTTGAGAAATACCGCGAGAAACGCCGCAAATAAGCATGCATGGCAGATAAGCAGACAGCCCGCTCGTAACCACAACTGTTCTCGAGCATCGATGGATGTTTTACAATACTCCGGGCTCCGTACAAAACCCCCATTATGCCACTCCAAGTAACAAACAATCCGTCAGGTTACTCGCGGTACAACATGGCCATAAACCTTTTTTTCCCTTGGCAAAGCCGCATCTCACGACGAGAAAAGAAGACCCTCTCGGAGTTTGAGAAATACCGCGAGAAACGCCGCAAATAAGCATGCATGGCAGATAAGCAGACAGCCCGCTCGTAACCACAACTGTTCTCGAGCATCGATGGATGTTTTACAATACTCCGGGCTCCGTACAAAACCCCCATTATGCCACTCCAAGTAACAAACAATCCGTCAGGTTACTCGCGGTACAACATGGCCATAAACCGGATTATCGGATTATGCATGTCCCAATTCGGCCACACCCGGCCAACCGTCGCCACGGATCCGAGAGGCTCCGTCCCCCAATTGTTGAGCACCCACCCACCCTCCACACTAGCAATTTTTTTCTCCTTTTTCGTTCCTCACACACCCATCAACTCCGTAACCCGGCACAGCACTCTGGGTAACCCCCTATCTCCATTCCTTCGATGCTCGTAGACTGTCAGCACAGACCCGGTGCCACCACCCTACACGTACCGCCCCCAACATTCCCGCGATGACAGCAAGTACGTAAGCTGACCGCGGCGCACCGCTCACCCAATCACATCCACCATCCGAACCTCCGCGTCATGGTGGTCCCCTGGCAGGGGCGGCTGTCCTGTCCGTCTGCGACACGGAGGGATTCTGCGGAGGTGGACTGGCGCCGAAATATAACCAAGGATGAATAGAATAGAATAAAAGCAGTTGGTTCCACGGCAACGTCAAAGTACAAGTACAGCGTGTAGACATGGCACTGCATGTCGACTGCGATCGGCCCCAACTGGTACCATAGCAAAACCTCGTCTCACTCGCAACACCGTCACTCAACACATACGTCTCCTCTCGAGCAAATTATAGTCTACAAGGCTCGACAAGGCAGGATGGGCGACACACTTCACAGTGGTAGCAGCCAACGGCACAGGACGTATCAACACCATCTATTCCCATCCTCAACTTCCAGAACAAAATCTACACCCAAGCACCCAGGGGTCATCCCCCCCCCCAGGCGGCAGACTGGATTCTTGACCCAAATACGTACATGTTACGCCGTAAGCTATCGACCCATCTCCGTCGACCAGCCTCCTCAATAGCATCGCTCGCTCAACAATCATTCTCCAACTGCCAAGTCCCTCTGGGGATAATTCATCGCATTGTCGGCACAATCTATGGTGCAACGGCAAATATGCTAAAACCCAGAAACTATGTGCTTGAAGAGAGGTCATAATCATCATAATTAACAAAAAGCATCGCCTTCAACTAGAATCGCTTTGTCTCATCGTATGTCGTAAACGAGTTCATCTCAAAAAGAATCGTAGGAATGTGTTTGACTATTGAGCATTGGCGCCAGCACTCCACCCACACACAACCCGGTATTAATCTGATTATGGCGCTTGGCTAAAAGCTGAACCCGGTCGTTGTCTAATACGTCTCGCCCAAGTCGCTCAGTTTTCTGCCACCCGAGGTGGCAGGTCGCACAGTGCCAACCCCCGTGCTCGTCCGTCTGCCGCCGGGGCCGTTGCCGCTCTGTCGTCTTGCGCCAGGCGTGGGGATTGAGGTCCCGGGAACTGGGATGCCGCTGACAGCCCCTTCCATCTCGAGCTTGGAGTAGGTACCGCGCCGGCTAGGAGTGCGGAACTCGCCTTCGTAGTCCTCTTCCATTTCTATGCGGCTCATGCTTTGGGAGTGCCCGTGCATGCTCAGAGACGATCTCGGTCGACCCAGAGGTGTGCGTGCTCCGGTTATAGATGATCGTGACATGGGACGTGGGGGCGGCACCATGTCGGTTCGTGACGAGGGTCTCGCATATGATGATACGCTTGCTCGGGAGTTTGGGCGGCTGTGACTGGCATCAGATTCTGGTGCTCTATTTGGTAATGGCCCAAAGGACAACCTGCTGACTCCCGACGTGCTAAGTCTGGGGACATGGCTAGGTCGTGATGACGTCGATGAACGAAAGTTGGTTGGTGTAGTTTCGTCTCCTGCAAGAGACGATGCGGATGACGCCGTTGTTCGCTTCCGAGAGCGGATCGTAACCGTTGACGGAACGCCGGAACCGTTGGCCATTGGTCTGGGTGACGCACGTGGTGGTGTATGTGCAGGGGCTGGTAGCTTGGACCTTGCAGAGTGCACTCTAGCTTCGAGACGCTGCATCTGAGCAGTGAGTGATCGAATATGTGAGAGCGAGTTAGATGCAGGAATCTTATGCTTCGACCAGCCGGGAGTGGCCGTAGAACGCGGAGCCGGGGTACGAAGACTCGAAGGCCCGCCCGAGATACGGCCACCTTGTCGTGCAACCGCAGGCTTTCCACGTGGCTTAGGAGTTACGCTGTGATCCAAAGATGGCAGTCGAGACTTGCGAGGAAGCGTACCGCCAGGCTTGGCAGCCGTAGTTGCGTTAGCAATGGGTGCTGACGCATCGGACATTGGCGGCGACGGGGGCTCGTGTACCTGCGAGAGCGATTCGACCGCGGGGAGAGACTTGGTCTCGGGTGGCGTGGTGATAAGCGGCGAACTGGCAGTCGAGTTGGGAGAATCCTCGAGGTTCTTGTCGAATGTCGGTGATCCCATGACAGAGAGGTCGGTCGAGATGGTAGACAGATGTCGGGCTTCGTACTTCTTGATCTTGTCCTGCATGAGCTCCGCCTCTATCTTGAGCTCGGCGAGCTCTTCCCGAAGCCGCTGTGACTCGATTCGCAGATTTTCTCTTTCCTGCTCACCAGATTTAATCTCCTCCTCCATCATGACACCCCGCTCAATAGCCTGGTTGTATTTGGACTCCATGTCTTCCAGAGAAGAGGTAGTGTTGCGAGCTTGGCGCTCAAAATCGTCATTGGCCACCTCGACATCTCTCAGCTTCAACTGCAGCGATCGGTTCGAATCTCGAAGAGTAGTAATTTCCTTTTCCAGAGAGTTTTGCGCAGCGCTAGCCTCACTCTTGGACTCCTTGTATTTCCTCTGCGCTAGTATGTTAGCAATAATTCTACTTCAAACACGACAGCTCAGCACCATGTGCCAGGAATAGAGCTCTCCTACCTTCCACTCTTCAACTTCGAACCCCAGGGTTTCAACCTTCTCCTGCAGAGCTCGCTCCTGCTTCTCCGCTCGCTCGATATCCTTCTCTAGTTCCTGTTCAAGCTCGCGACTTGACTCCCGAAACTCGGCAAGCTCCGATTCCAGCATTTCGTACTGCGATTTATACCAGGTGAGGGCATCCTCAGCCGTGGCTGCCTCACTGGGAGGCGATGAAGGAGGCTCGGCCATGGTACGCCGTAATGTTTATGGGAGTGATGATGCCGAGCCAGGGATCCTTCGAGGTTGGGGCATGCGACCCGCCGCTGCTTTGATGATTGATGATCCCTTTGAATTTTTGGCAAATGGGATAATTACGAGTGATTTTTTTGAACGTGTTTTTTCCGGTTTTGCGTGCGAGGGTCGTTGACAAAAGAAACATGTATTGCCTGGCAGTTGCTGGCGGGCGTGGATGCGGTGTGGCTTTCGAGATGAACCGAGGCGCGGTTGAACAACGAAAGAGCAACAACAAAAGGCAGCTTAGGAAATTGAAATAAAGAATATTTCTAAGCGCATTGTTAGCTTGCTCGCGCGCGCGCGTTGTGACTGCCACAAACATTGAACTTACAGTTTGTTGCTCCAAAGGGGGGAGGGGGGGAGGTTGGCTACTCTGGATTTCCCCTTTGTCCCGGATGCGGTGCCCGACAATGTGGACGGCGGAGACGAGAAGGAGACGAAATCGAAAACGAAAAATAAAAGGCCCCCGTCTATGTCTTCTTGCTGGAGCTGTGCGCGCGTCGGTTTCGCGGCTATTCCCAGCAAACAGCAGAACTTACCTATGTCTATCTGCCTTACCTTGGGTTGTCGAAGTGGCAGTCCGCCAGCCGGAGCGATGCGGTGGAAGTGGTTGTGTTTTGGCCTGCGACCCTTGTGACACAGTGTTGGGTGGCCTTGCTGCCAATGTTGACTGACCATGTTGACCCAAATGGCCCAATGACCGGCCTTGGCCCTTTCCCGCGGCCACCTTGCCTGACCGCTTGACCCGCTTAGGCTTAGCTCTCGGCGTCATGGGCAACAGCACCTAAAAATATGGCGGGCAAGTACGACCGCTGCTTTTTCCGGCCCCTCTGGGATCACATGTAAGAGCGTTCATGTGTGCGCGAACTCTAACGTGAACTCACTCCATTAATGCTGTCATGCCCGGATGGCTCCGTATTCCTCTGCTTGATGTTGGTTATTCGAAAAAGCATGCGGATGGCGCGGGTGGCAACATTGAACGCTGTTCCGTGAGACACCAGACCCTACAAACAGGGTAGCAAACCTCCGACACGCGTTGCTCCTCATTTGTCTCTGGACTGGGGATGCTTGACCCTGGGCAGGGTCCCTTTATCCTTCATATTGCAAAGTTGCACGACGGACCGTGTGCCAGGAGCACAGTCTTGTACTGCATATTGTGCGCTCAAATATGCCGCCGTGCATGAACTCTTGAAGCCACCTCAAAGCGCATAAACTTCTCGGATTGTCTCTTAGTCGTTCTGCTTGTGGGCAACACTTGCAGTTGCTCGACACCCCCTGCTGTCAACAACACAATCTGAACTGTCGGGAGGTCTAAGTTGAGGCCCATTTTGACTTTGCAATTAATGTTAGCATGTGCTGTCCTACTACACGTACTCCGTATGAAACTCATCCATTCCCAGCTCCACTCGTTGGAGTAAACCCACCCCATTTTAGTCGGCCCTTGAAGATGCAATTTCCCATAATGACCATTCTCAAGGTCAGCAGAGGTAGCGATAGCTGCGGTTTCTATATGTCGATAGCAAAATTTACATCCAGTACCTACTGGGGTAGGTATCTGGTCAATGCCTATTGGTAGCAGGTAGTCGTGCAAAACACCACCTTCACAACATATACAGGGTATCGCGAGGGATGCAGCCCAAACCCCCACAAGAGCTCCAGCTTCACTCGTTTCATATATCATTTCGTTTTCTTGGTGTTTTAGGATAATGCTACAGAATATTTCGTCCTCGCTGTGCTATCTTGCCCGCCGTCTCTCATACGAACATGCGAACGGACCAACGCTGCCTTCTCATCGTACAACTTGTACTCCGTACACGGAGAAAAATCAGGACTTTGCAAGTACAACTTCAAAGTCTTCCCCCACCGGTAGCGCCCCATGCCTTCCTGGCCTTTCTGGACCCTGCTGTCGCGGCTCCGAAATTGTGTAGCCTTTCTCCAATCAAGTATGCCTCGTCTCGAACTCCTGCTGTCCATCGATTGAACACTCTCGTCAATCCAACTGCATATCTGACCATGACGGCCGACACTGCAGCCACTGGGTACGAGTATCTGAATACCAAGGACGGGTTGGCCGTATCGGCTACTTCGCCCGTGAGTCGCGAGGGCGAGAGCATGCCGGAATTGATTAGAAGATATGCGGTTGTGGGAGGACCAAATATTGCGAGTATAGATAGGGCGATTCCGGGAATAACAAATGCTCTTGTAAAGACGTCGACATCCGGCTTTAGGTAGCCTCGTCGCATGACGGATGTTACTGCTATTGCAGCACGGCTGTCTGGAAAGAGTGATGTAATCATTCTAGTTGCAAGCTTTAGGTAGAGAAGTCCCAGCGTCCAGGATTGAATAACTCGTATGGTATGACGCCCAGCCTCTCCGCCTTGGCTTGCTGTGGTTGTTTCGTTCTGTTGTTGCCAGGGTGGATTCATGTAGGTATGTAGAGGAATACTGAAATACAGCTCCATTAATGTTGATACTAGCAAGGGAAACACAATTAGTAGGAAGAAGTAGGCATAGAATAGTTTAGCACCGCGTGCCAACCCGCCGATAACACGACGACCGCTGTTTCCATTCGCAATTTTGTTGCCGATTTGGCCTGTCCAATCTCGGAATCTGGCGGTAAGATGACCAAGGCGAAAGACTGCATAGGCTAGCGAACCTAAAATATAGATGCCGATACTGAATGCGTAAATATCATTGGTGCGAATGTGGGCTGGAATCAGCATCTTAAACATAGCCCTGCCAAGCACCAACGGTACGATAGTGAAGCCAACTCCAGTGACGGCGGCAAATAGCCAGATGAAAAGGATGAATAAGAATAAGCGGGCGCGGAAGTTTGGTGGCACGTATACGAGTTGGTACTGGGGCGATGCATACATGTCATTGTCTGATTTACCGTCCTTTCGGCGGTTGCGTTCGGAGACTTTAAGGAAGACCTGTTGACCCTTGGGAATCTTGACTCTGTCAGATGCCGGAGCACGGACAAATCTGCCACTCTTCTCAAGTTGACCTGTCTTAACAAGATGGATCTTTTTGTGTCTCATCTCTTTCATTTCTCCTTTTGATATGGATGGATTCGGTTTAGCATCCCCGCCCTCGAATGTGTCTCTCCAAGTCTTGGGTATGACAGCGTTGTTCTCATCAAGCTCAAGGAGCAAGGACTTATGTGGTGGAACTTGACCCTTCAGCTCGGGGCTAAGATGAAGAATGCCTTCTTCATCGATGCGTCGCTCGCCAAATAAGAAATATGTCAAGCGAAGGCCGCGGGCGCACTTTCGGAACCACCAGGTGTACATGGTGTGCAATCCGTCACTAGGCTTGAAGAACTTGACAGCTAGCGGCATTAGGAAGTTGTAAAATAGAAGATCCACGGGGAACTCCAAAACCGGTTCGTTGGATGAATAATGGATAGGCAATACACCAGGCATCGTGTAATAGAGGCCCCAGACCACGCCGCCGAGACAGACGATGACCAACGCGCCGTACACGAAAGCTGAAAAGAGAATCTTCCGTAGCTGGGTTGTTAGATTTCGTTCCAATACGTCCCGTACAGGGTGGAACTCGGGATCATCTGGATCTCTAATAAAATCTACATCAAAGCTGGTTAGTGTCCCATTCCAGTCAATAGCATACAAAGATCTAATGACTTACACAACACGCCTGGCCGCATTATCTTGCGGCACATAGAGACAAAAAGAGCAAAATGAAACATGTAACCAGTTCCCACAAACCAATGAACAAAGATTGATGTCAAGGGGTAGTTGCACGTGAATAGGATGCGAGAGTTGAAGGTCGTGTCTTCAAAGAGCGGGAGCAAGGCGCCATCTAGCAAGAGGCCACAATACAGGGGGAAAACGAGCATTTCGATGCTGATGATGAGAATGACTTTCATAATGCCGCTTGCCTGGTGAAGGCTGTCGATAACTCCGGCTTCCCAAGCTTGCATCACGGCGCCTCGCGAAAATGGGCTGTCTCGTTTCAGGTATAATGCGCCAACAGCAAAGACAGTCAGATATCCGATGAGAATTGCCCAGAATCGATCCAGACCTGACCAGTATGCGAGGCTGGGGTCCACTGGGGCCTCCGTGGTAACTTCACCTAGATCGATTATCCAGGAGCTTGGGTCTAACAACAAGGAGACCACGCCAGTAAGAGTGGAAACTAAAGACTGAATGGTTGTTGAAGTCGCGGCAACAAACCGTCCGTCAATCAGAGCGGGATAGTCGGGTTCGGCAAGAACCTTGAGGCCAATGTCGACCTGGCCTAGGACCCAACCAATATTCTCTTTAAGGGTGTTCAGAGCCTCATGGCTGATAGCCGAGAAATGTTGTACTTCAGGGGTGAACAAAGGAAACTCCATCATGAGAGCATATTCCACAAATCTGGCCCCGGTTCCAGTCCATATTCCCCAAGATGCCTTTCTGGCAGACACAATCTGCGCGCCCATGGTGCCTCCAATGACGCTTGTGAACATGTCGACAATGTTCAGTGCACACCAAGAGCCAAATCCACCAATCATCATCGCTGCGTCTTGGATTACTTTGGAAACACCCATGAGCATTCGAATAAGAAGGATAGGGTTGGAAATGATCAAAACGGAAACGCGCCCTATATTATAAGGGATGCAAACGCAGGTAAATATGGTCATCGTGACGAGAACAACGCAAAAGATGGCGTTTTGGAACAGCCCTGCAATGGGACCACGCATGCCCAGAAGTTCCATTACCCCTTCGAAATCCTCAAGATCTTCCATAGCCTCAGCATTCATCCCTGCTGCAGCAGCGGCCGCGTCGACTTCGCCAGCATTCGGATCCGCGTTGGCCTCCACAGGTTCAGCAATAGGAACATCAACCCATGGATCTTCTGCCCCATCATCATGACCAGCAGCACCAGCAGCAGCACCATTGGCTGCGGGCTCTGGTTCTTCTTCCTCCTCGATGTCCTGCCGCTGATCAAGA